CCACATATCATACGTGTTTGTCCGTCTGGCCCTGTTCGGACATAATTTGTACTTTCCTAATAAAGCTAATGAATATCCATATAAGGCAACTGCATGGCTAGTGTGAACGCCCCCTTTGTGCCATTCAATTTGGAGACTTATAAAAAGGACGTCCGCTCGCCCCCCCGGACGTGATTCCATCTCACCTTTTGTTTGCCAACCAAATCGTTTACACAGGTCTTCTTCATCGCCTGAAGACCGAATAACCTTTTTTTGTTTGGCACTCGACTCTCTTGCTTGCAATCAAACCCTCCACTCCTCTCTCTTTTTTTTTTTTTGAGAATCTATAACCATGCGTGAATGTATCTCTATCCACGTCGGTCAGGCCGGTGTCCAGATTGGTAACGCCTGCTGGGAGCTTTACTGTCTCGGTACGTGTTTGTGTTGGTGCTGCTTCTGCGTTGGCATTGTCCGAAATATGATTCTCATACGCGCACTTTTCTTCTGCAGAACACGGTATTCAGCCCGATGGTCAGATGCCCTCTGACAAGACCATTGGAGGAGGTGATGACTCGTTCAACACCTTCTTCTCTGAGACTGGTGCTGGTAAGCACGTTCCCCGTACCGTCTTCGTCGATCTTGAGCCCGTAAGTTGCTTCTTCTTTTCTCTTGCTGCGCATTTTTTTCGTGGCACTGATAATTTCCCCGGTGTTCTTTAGACTGTCGTCGATGAGGTCCGTACCGGTACCTACCGTCAGCTGTTCCACCCCGAGCAGTTGATCACCGGCAAGGAGGACGCTGCCAACAACTACGCTCGTGGTCACTACACCATCGGCAAGGAAATCGTTGACCTTGTGCTCGACCGTATCCGTAAGCTCGCCGACAACTGTACCGGTCTTCAAGGATTCCTTGTCTTCCACTCCTTCGGTGGTGGTACGGGATCCGGTTTCGGTGCTCTCCTCCTTGAGCGCTTGTCTGTCGACTATGGCAAGAAGTCCAAGCTCGAATTCTCGGTCTACCCTGCCCCTCAGGTTTCGACCGCCGTCGTGGAGCCTTACAACTCTATCTTGACCACCCACACCACTTTGGAGCACTCCGACTGTGCCTTCATGGTTGACAACGAGGCTATCTACGACATCTGCCGTCGTAACCTCGACATTGAGCGCCCCACCTACACCAACTTGAACCGTCTCATTGCTCAAGTTGTCTCCTCCATCACCGCCTCCCTTCGTTTCGACGGTTCCCTCAACGTCGATTTGACCGAGTTCCAGACCAACTTGGTGCCCTACCCCCGTATTCACTTCCCCTTGGTCACCTACGCTCCGGTCATCTCTGCTGAGAAAGCTTACCACGAGCAGCTCACTGTTGCCGAGATCACCTACTCTTGCTTCGAGCCTGCCAACCAGATGGTCAAGTGTGACCCCCGTCACGGCAAGTACATGGGCCTGTTGTTTGCTTTACCGTGTGATGTCGTCCCCAAGGACGTCAACGCCGCATTGCCACCATCAAGACCAAGCGTACCATCCAGTTCGTCGACTGGTGTCCACTGGTTTCAAGGTCGGCATCAACTACCAGCCTCCCACCGTCGTTCCTGGTGGTGACCTCGCCAAGGTCCAGCGTGCTGTCTGCATGTTGTCCAACACCACTGCTATCGCCGAGGCCTGGGCTCGTCTTGACCACAAGTTCGACCTTATGTACGCCAAGCGTGCCTTCGTCCACTGGTACGTTGGTGAAGGTATGGAGGAGGGTGAGTTCTCTGAGGCTCGTGAAGATTTGGCCGCTCTCGAGAAGGACTACGAGGAAGTCGGTACCGACTCCGTCGAGGGTGAGGAGGAGGAGGCTGAGGAGTACTAGATCAATCATAGTACCTCCTCTCTTGATTGCAGCAAGGGTTAGAGGACCTCCTTTCTCTGTATAAAATTTGTTCTTGAATAAGAGGACGTGATACCAGTTACATTCTTCTCTGCTTTTAATTCCAAATGCCTACCCCCCGGAATCATGGACACGTTCAATGATTTACCAATAGATGTATGCATTTTGAAGGGAATAAGTGTTTTGGTATGAGGCGAATTATAGCTGCTAGATCACCATTGGCATACCAATTGAGAAATCGTTTTGGAGTAGCCAATGCTCAACAACCAATCGAGGCCCATGTGAAGCGCCTTTGCCAACACTGGTCCATGCTCATTCATTGATGAGAGCATTCGTAGAACTGCCAACCGTTCTTACAGGGAATATCGGAGAGCAACTCCCTGTTTTTCAATCAGAACCTTATAATCACTGGAGCTTTATCAGTTTGCTCATCAAATACAGAGTCGGTATCCAGTGATTTTGATTCCACCAGAGTTCAATCGAAATCCTTATAGAAAGAAGCAAGTAAATGATATTCCGTTTTACACATCAAAATAATGCTAAACACAAATTCATCTAAACGACATTTAAAAAAGTCAATATCTAAATTTTTTTCTATGTCTCTAACTATCAAAAGTCCCCCGCCAGCAGGATCCCTTAACGACCAATATCGGCAATCTTTGCCATCATGATGTCTTTGACGGCATTCGACAACTGCTTGTGGATTGCTGTGGTTGGGTGGATCCCATCCCAAGTAATAAAGTCGTTGGGATTCGAGCAAATTGTGGGAGGGCTGGCTCTCAAATCGACACAGCCCTTTGTTACATCGAGATTGGCGGGCAACTGTCCGGTAGCAGCCAAGTTTGCCATCACACCATTAAATACGGTAGGCATGTCAATGGGGACAATGTTGGCATTTGGGTTCGCAGCTGCGAATGCCGTTAATTTGGATGCGAGTTCAGTGTTGTGGGCCACTACGGGAAGGTCTGGGCTTCCAGGGGGGAGGTTGAAGACCATAAAGTTCTTGTAACCGGCGCTGAGGAGGGTTTGCATTCCGTTGATGGTGTCTTGGACGACCACTTGAGGGGTGATGTCAGCACGGCCGTGTTCGGCGGCATGGAAGTAATCTAATGAACAAGAATATTGAGGATGAGGATCCAAATATCAGATAAATATACAATGGGAACTATTGATATTTACCATTTGCACCAATCCAAACAGAGACCAAAGTCGTAGCTGGGTTAGCTCCTGCGCGATTTGTCAAGAACTGTTGAGCCTGCTGGACCAATCCTGGCATTTGGGGAATAACGTTTCCGAATGGCGCTTCACCGGCAATCTTGGTCGAATCCGATGTGGCTCCTCCAAAAGCCCTGTTGACCTGACTTATACCGAGGTCGGCTGTAAGGTATTCTACCCATGTTGGACCGTTGCTGTACCGGCCATTAAAGTAAAATGCGGGAGCGGGCCAGGTACCCCCGGTGAGTTTGAAGGTGTTGCCGTTGTCAGTTAAACTATCTCCCAAGGCGAGGATGGAGAACTTTTTCTGACGGGTACTGATGGGGTGTGCAGTCGTAAGTGCCGCAAGGGCGAGCAATACAACGGGAATACGCATGATGGTTGGAAGTGGGTGGTGGTTGTGTGCGTGTGGATGGGTATTAGATGTATGAGATATGCAAAGACGTTGGAAGCTTGACGGAATAACGAGGAAATCTGGTGAGACCCAGATGCTTTTATAAGCCTGGGAGACTGTCCCTGGATATATGCAATGAGTTTACTCTAAAGATAGGACAAGACCGTTCCACGCCGCGGATGTGCCTTATTCAAATGAAAAACAACCTTGCTTTTGTTTTGGAACTGATCAAAAATAACTTTGACTTTGTTTTGAACTGACAACATTCAGACCACATGTTTTGGAAAGACAACAGGATCCATGACACCCTTTACCCGCCGTGGAGAATCTCAAAGTGCCAAACGATCTTTACGACATGGCCGTGTCGCACTGGCATGGTGAAAAATATCTCTCCCGTAGATCATCACATTGTCTTCCAAAGGAAAGCCGACATTATTTGTGGAAGTGTGCTGGCAAGTGTTATTATTAGTTTCGAGGAGTTTTATTTTGTTTTAGTGTGCTTTTTTAGTGTGCTCCGTGATTACGGCGGAGATCACGTCAGCACGGCTTTAGGCAAAGTTTATTACTTTGCTTTCCTCCGTTGCACCAGTCACAAGGTAGGATGAGGTATGAGATTTGCTTTTTGCTTGCGGTTTGAACGATGGAAGAGATCAGTAGTAGGTATCTGCCCAACTTTCCAAGCACACCGCAATGCCCTGCATATCGGCTCTTGCCTCTGCAAAGACTAGAGTTTTTTACTTTTTTGCATGGTATGATGGACCAGTCAATGGTACCAACAGAGAGTAAACAATTGTAAACATTGTTGATCTTGGATCCCCCAAAAGACACAAGATCAGGAACTTTAACATGGAGTTGTGTTGACGTGGAAATGGCTCCATCAGTCTACCAATCATCAAAATAGTGCGGTTTACGGCCGTCTTACATCTTGCAGGGCATTAACAATAGCAACCCCCCAAAATATTTTACTGCACACAAGTAGACCAATCGGTGGACTGCAAAATCGAAGTCGATCTTAAATCTTTTGGTTTAAGCAAGAAACAAACCGCTTCCTGCGACAGACCGTCCGCAACATACAGTGTCTCCACCTTTCATGTTGTTATTGTATGTGCCCACATTCATCTTTGTCAACTAACCCCACCGAGTTGACAGCGACTCGAAAAGAGCGCTTGGTGCGAACAAACCCTCCTAACCCAAACCAGGAGCCACGTTCAACTTTAAGAGGAAAATGCTTTGAAAAAGAGGAATGCATATTAAACTACGATTATACGATATGATGTAAAAATGAAAAAAGTGCAGCAACTAACGAAAAAATAAAATAATATACCGCATACTTGATGCCAAAACAAACAAACCAGCACTGCTCCATTACTCCTTCCTGCCCAGAAAATAGTAAAAGAACTCACAAAAAATGAATGTACAACTGATCCGACAAATCCACCCATTCACCATTCTCCTCCGGCTGGTCCTCGAGACTCGGCTGATGACCAGCATCAGCCTCTTTGGGTAAAATAACGAGAGCATCTTTGCCGAAATCGACGGCGGAGTCCCTGTCGCGATCCCGGAGTTTAGTTTCCGTGCTGTTGGGTTCTTGAGTGAGGGACAGAGATTGGATCGCAGTGGTGAGAGCGGTATCGTGGAGGGGATCGGTGCTGGTGATGGAGTCGGGTTGCATGTCAACTAGGGTATCGTTACGTTCAGGAGGAAGCTTGGACGCCGGATCCTCATGAAGAGGGAGTGCATCCACAGTCGATCTATCAACGTTGATATCATCCATAGATGAATACGTGGCTGGTTCAGCACAGAGCGACATGCTCCTATCGCTATCTAGCAACAATGTAGTGGTATCAGGTGTATCCTCACTGTATGTATCCGTCTTTGTATACTGCAGAGACGGAGACGAAGAGTCTACCGGTGACGCAGGGATGGTTTCCAAAACTTGGGATACGTCATCTCCAATCAAGGTTTCCGACGAAGTTTGTTTACCCCGATCATCTATTCCGTCATCAGAATCCACCGCCTTTGCAGTCCAAGGTTTTGCAGTCCAAGGTTTTGCATCTTGATCTGTGATACGCGACTCAGCAAACGACACTGAGACAGCTCGTCCGGCAAATGCCCGCCGGCGGCCCGGCGGAGCTTTCAGAACGGGTGTAGAAGGCGCCGTACGCATTTTATCTTTTCCCGGATCTGCCAAAGGCATGCTCCACCTCGAGCCAACCCCAACTCCCATGGACACTGTCCGCCGTCTCTCTCTTCCAGCAAGAGGTGACGAGTTTCTCCGCAAATCCATCGCATTTGGCCACCGGGAAAGCTGCTTTCCCACTGTCTCCCGTGCTGACAACGCACAGGACTGATCGGGGAAAACAGAACCATCATTTCCTTTCCAATCTCGCCAATCATCGACGTGCTCGAGATGGGGATTGCCACCACTGCGAATGGATTTGCGACGACGGGTTCTGTCGCCGAGAGATGGTTTGGCGGCTTCCATGACGATTTCGCGGAGTCGTTCGTCGTAGGCGGTGACGATCGTGCTGTATTCTGAGGCGCGGCGATATAGTTTATGGGAATTGTCCAGAACATAGTTGTAAATCGACCCATTGTTTTCCCCGTCCTCTATCGCCTTAGATTCATCGTGATCTGGCTCTGCAGCAATGGTGTCCTGACTTGAATTTATGTCATCGTTGACAACATCTTCCATATCAGGTTCAGCATAAGCGCATTGAGGAGAGAACAGCATCGACGACCGCGAGAAGCTCATTGATCTACGCGCGGCCGGTCTTTCATCGCCCTCTTGCTCCAGATTTTGCCGTCTATGTGTTCCTATCGACGTGGAATGAGATCGCCGTTTTTCGGCTTGATGCCGCAATGGGGATTTGATCTCGCTCGCTTCTTCCGAGTTGCTTGAATTGGCCTCTTTCATGACCAGCTCTCGAAGCTTGATGTCCCATCCTGAATAACAGCCGTTTTAGCATTGGAAAGTTAAAATGGAAAAATTGCGTGTACATACCTGAAGCAGCAGCAATCATACTCAACCTCCCTAATTGACTCGTCCGCTTCCTCAAAGTCTCGTCTTCAACATCCTCATCCTCCCCGGTCTCTCTACTCATGTCCGTTCCAGCTTCCCCTTCCTTCTGAGCCGGTCTCCGAACCGATGCCAAAGCCTCTCTCAATCTTTCTCTCGCCGCCCGTCTCCGTTCGGCTGAAAATGATGTCCCTGGGACCGAGAGGGGCGACAAAGGGGTCGATCGCCCAGTCGCGCTCAGGGATGACTGGGAAGATAGGGACCGAGTGGACATTGAGCAGATGGAAGGTGAACTGGATCGACTGCTGGATCGACTGGTGCAACAGGAATCACATGAAGTTGTCGTTGTTGTGGAGATCGAGGAGAGGGTATCTGAGGACGAGGAGGAAGGAAGGGATGAAGAGCTTGCCGATGGTGTTTGAGATAGTGCGCATCGTTTGGGGCTATCGGGGTCGTCCATGATAGGGATGGTATTACGCGGGATATGTACTTTGCTGGGTATGGGGGATCAAGTTGTCGGGAAGCAGACCGACTACTCATTCCACAGGATGCGGGCAATGGATATACGGGGGTTGATTCCTTCGTTTACAGTGGTCTCAGGCGAGTCTCGCGCCTTCTTCACTGACACTTGCCGCCAAAAAGACGCACTTTGACAGTCACACACGACTGCAGCAAACTAGCCTTTTCGCAAAAAGTACCCAGCTTGGTATAGAAAGGCTATGAATTTCACGTCTCAATCTTGTCGTATCGACGTGCTATGTATCTGCAACGCTGTCACCAGCACAGCATGGCAGAGCACAATGTGTGCACAAAACGTATTAATGGCGTATTGCAGAGGGCTCGACAATTAACAGAGGAGAGCCGTCCCAAACAAGGTAAACGTCAAAAAACCCCGAAGAATGTCCGCAGAGATGCAAGAAAGAATTTCGGCAGTGAGATATGTCACACTCGGCCTTTGGGGCTTAAAATCAATTTTATTAAGCAATGGATCACTTTGGGGCTTTGGGTTGGTTTTTGAGCTGACAAAATGCCTTTTTGTATTTTTTTTGCTTTTTCCATCGATTGGACATACAATACCATATTGCGGAACAAGGTCACAATACTTGTAGTATGAGCAGTTTGGAACATGGCAAGGGATATGAACAACTTTTGGTTGACCCCATGAAAGACCACATGCCATTTTCCTCCACAGGAGGGCCGTCGGAAAGACTTGGTTGCTGTCGGCGACGTAATCTACAAGTGCTTGTATACACAAGTGTTCCTTATTTGCATACCCTTGTCGGTATTCGAAACCCAGGGTATTAGGGACGTTTTGGAGAGTTAACTCACCTGCAACCAGTCGGCCGTCAATCAACGTCATTATAATTCCTTATTTTTATATGGTACACTGTGTAAAGCAGAATGCATCCAACGCTATTGGAGACCATCACTCAAACAGGAAACCATGGTCGACTGCGAGTCTGCGGCAGGGAAGCTCCACATTCATCCATGTGTAGCCCAGAGTCCCCTACGCTCAGTGGAATCAGAAACGGGAGACTAAAGTGGAAATTTATAGAGGTGGTCGTAAGCTTATGGTCGGCGACGTAAGCCCCTCAGTTTTAGGGTATCTAAATGCTCTGAGGAGGGTTAAAGCAACATCGCAATAGACGCCTTTTGCGGTATGCAGTTACAGGAAGAGAACGTTTATTTGGCGAGTCAGATTAGAATGATATTACACATCGTATGCACTCTTCGCAGCCATAAGATGACAGAGAAACTGCGAATGCTGATGGTTTGTCAAGGTCTAGGCTCAGGAATGAGCCGCCACTGTCGACCAAGGTTCGGTCGGATAGCTGTTTCTCATCCCTCGTATTCCTTTCCGTTTTGATGTAGTGATAAGAAGGGGATTTGAGTCCATAGTAATGGGTCAGGGTTTGTAAAAAGGAATAGTCGGCCACCACTGCCGTCTTTGAAAGCCATGTCCCATCTTCTCTCCCACCTCTTGCCATATTAGAAATCAAAGGAAAAGTCAGATGCCGCAATCCAACCTAGTCTGCGTTTTCGAATGGATTCAGTCCACTGAAGTGCTGTAATGCGCCTGGGATTTTCGGACTGAGATGACTGAGCGACGCATAACTGTTGCATAGCATGAAGACTAATGTATCAAATGCTTTCCTCCGATGAACGTAATAACTGTTAAAGGGTTTTACGGGAGTAATGTGTTGCATATCCGATTGGAAGAAAGTCAACAAAGACCGTTGATTAGACAATGTACAGGCATGAATGTAAAGGTCACACTTTGTCTACTCGATCTCGGAGTGCCAAGACGACACTGACGGTTTTATGAAACCAAACTTTGCAGCAACCAGGAGCGCCTACCAGCGCTGAAATCGCATGGGATGCTGCCCACATTTCACCCCCAAAATCGCTAAAAGCACATTGTGAATCACAGCCAGAATCTTTGGCGCAACAATGTATATTCGCCGATATTATTGCATGACCCATTGGTAAGCGTCCGATAGAGTTTCTCAGACACCTTTAAATCCAACATTGGTAATTATCGCCAGAAACCCTCCAGAAACAAATCTCCGAAAGGTGCTAGTGGTATTCCCGCATGCTAGTGGGACGAAAGTTCCATGGTAGCATCCTTTTCCGTTTCTTGTTGGTATCATCATAGTCGGAAGGCTTTTAACAGTTGACATCTCCCGCAAACTATTTCCATCATTGGAAAAAGTTCACAGTTTCTTTCTCGAAGTATCTCACTTGTACAAAATGACAATTGACAAGTCGCATTCAACTTGACCAGTTGCATTCACCCCAACCTCATATTTGCAGAGTTTCTGTCTCCCTGTATGTTAACCTGCACATGCAAAAAAAAAACGTCCTCAGCCTTGCTGCTTTAGCTATTTCCTTTATCAACCTAAACAATCATGAGAACATGTTCTAGACCATGCAAACCCTAAATACCCTTTTCGCGGCGCAGTGTTCTAAATCTGAGGGCAAAGGTTAATAGCATGAAAACATTTGTTTGTGCTTTTTCCTTCATATTCGAAATGTTCCGACCCTAAACAGTGTTTGTTTTGCACAATCTTGTGATGAGGAAAGACATGCCGGAATTTAAGGGAGGTCTTGGTGGGACTTTTTCCTGGTTTTTTTTGACTTTATAGACTCGACTCATCACGCTAGGACAGCATTGCATCTCATACCCTCCAAGATCTTGCTTGTGCCTCATACATACCGACTGTTTCGGTAAGATCAAGTCCTAGATGGGGGGAGTCCAATGTTCAACGCATCACAGTGGTTGTGTCGTCGGCGCTTTAGGATTTGCAATTAATCGTATAATATGGATTTTCCTAGATACCCCCATATATCATTTCAAGTTGCAGAAAGACCACCATGGTTCTGTCGACCTGGCTTCTATCCGCATGCACCATCGCCTCTCTGGCGAGTGGTGCTTTAGGAGATATCTACATGCGTAAGTTATGCACTGCATAAATGCCATGATCCTATTTAATTCGGCTCCCTGACGATTCGGACTGTTAGACAATCCACGAGGCTCCAACAATAAGTTGAATGAGCAGAGTAATAATCGCAACAATGCCAACCGGTACTGTGACAAATGTTTTGATGGTCTTTTACCAAATGATCTTACCGTATTTCAGCCTGTTTGACTCACAGAACAATGGTAACGGCGGATACCAAGCAGGAGACGACTGCACAACCCCATGTCAGGATAACAACCAAAACTATGATGCGAACGCCGCAGGAGCCCTACAAGGCGTGATGCAATTTTATGAGGGGAGTGAGCTCCAAGTTGAATGGTATGAGATACTAGAAGATGCATGTTACAGGTTCTTGAGTGGTGATGAGGGGCTATACTTACATTTTGCATGTCTGTATATTAGGACAAATCAGCATGGATGTGGTGCGAACCCTCGGTTGCACTGCAACCTCGTCTTGCAGGTAAAAACTTCCATGAATCCTCCCAACAATTCCATTTTCCAAGTCTCTAATACAAATAATGGTCTCACCTTTGGCCTCTTAGTACATGTGCGAAGACTCTGCCCCGGGCCTTCGTGACGGGCTCACGACAAACACCATCGTCGAGAACCCAAATGACCCTCAATTCATGCGATACGGCCAGCACGAGACATACTCGTATTACCAGAACTGCAAAACCCGCAAGCGCAACAAGAAGCTCTTCATTGCTGATCGTAACCTGAATGGCGATACGGCCATTTATACCAGACAGAATAATAATGGGCAGCGGTTTGGGTTCGAGTGTCCTGAGGAGAGGTAACAGATCCATACGTAACCACCATGTGCAGTAGAGCCAAGTATTTATCACTATTTTCTTTTGTTTAGAGACTACTATCCGTATTGGCACCCTTCCCCTTGGAGGGATGTTTATGTTTGCACTGATGAGCCAACCCGCTGCGGCTACTACCGTCAGGAAAGCCAAAACGCTATTGACAAAGGAAACTGCACGGATCCACAGGTAAAGGGTTCAAACTAAACTCACAAACGTGGTGTGTCCGCGATTATGTTACCTTTGCTTATTCAATATGTTTCCCAGTATAACAACAAAGTCGAATGCGAAACAAACGGGAACGTCTGGCAATATGTCGGAAAATGGGACACGGACCCACCCGAATGCGGAGTGTGTCCAACAACACGCAACAATCATCTAGGACAGTCTGCCAACAATGAATCTCCAAAGTATACTTGGACGATTCCACAGGACAGACACCCGGACGGAACAAAATGCGTTCTGCGGCTGCGATACAATATTTCAACGTATGATTACGATGGGTGGGCAACGGATTCGCTTTTCAATGGTGCAAACTCAAAGGTTAAAGGTAAACATTCACAAAACCCTTGTTGGTAAAAGTATATCCATTGATCACATACTGTTGGTGTAGGGAACCCAACCTCGGACTTTGTCGGTCTGGGATTCAACGTCTCAGGTCCGCTCACCCTTAATGTCAACACTGCCCAGTTTGGAAGAACATTTGAAGACCGGTCTCATGTGTTTATTATTCGAAAGATTCCAAATGGACTCAAGAGCAGTTTTGTCCGGGCACCTCGCATCATTAACCTTAATGTCCGAGGACGTCGTGGGAACATTGTGGAAGTGTATCCCAGTGTCGAGTATGACTTTGTGCCCAACACGATTAATGCCAACAAGGGTGACTATCTTCACATTCAGGTATGTTTTTGCTGCGGTGTGTTTGTTGATGATTGCTAGACCACATGTCAATGTATCTCTCTCATTAGTGGACTGGGTCAGATGCCAATCAGAGAGGCAACTCTGGTAACGGCCGCGATGGTACCGACCGCAACAATCTCGTCGTCATGGGTTCCCAAGGCGTCAACTACCCAATGAACTTTAAACCTGACGGAGTGGACCCACCTACCCACTTTACCAACGATCAAAGCAAGATTGCTTACCTCGCCTTTTTGAATCAGACCAATTGTATTCAGACCAATGATGCAAATAGCGTTCAAAACTGTGCGAGAATTAATGCTGCGAGCGGGTATATCAATGCTGGGCTGGTGAGGATTGACAACACGGGTGTCTTTAATCTCGTCAGTACGAGAAACAGCGCTTTTTCGAACCGTGAACGTAAGTATCGTGCCTCGCCTGTTCACAACTATTTTTGCCTTGATGTAGCGCGGGAGTATCTGACATTATGTTTTTATCTCGAATGCAGAGAAAGCAGTGTTGGTGGCTTCACAAGACTACAAGACGATTGGTGCCGCTGTCGGTATTTCCGTGGCTGCTACCGCTGCTGCCGGTGCCGTCGGGTTTGCAAGCCTTTTCCTCGTCCGATACGGGCACGCCAACCCTCGCTCCAAGGTAGGCGGTATCGTCACCAAGCTTGGGATCAAACCTCCGCAGAAGCGACCCGCCGTTGCCCTTGAAACAGATGAGGTCAAACGATCTTGGTTGACAGCCAAGATTGTTGAGTGGTGGTTGTGGGAGGGCCAAAGGGCCACCATTGTCTTCATCTACGTTCTCGTCAACATTGGGGTTTGGATCTATGGATATGCAATGGCGTTGGGCAACGACCCGGCACCTTACTACCCCTACGCAAAAGGATTCGGGAAGACCCTCAACCTGAACTGTTCGTTCATTATCCTACCCGTTCTCCGCAACATTTTGTGCTGGTTGCGAAGCACCCCGTTGGCGGATATCATACCCCTCGACGACAATATCAACATGCACAAGCTTGTCTTTGGGTTCATTTCTGTTGCAGCTATTCTGCACGCTACGTTCCATTATCTGGACTTTGCGTGGAATGCAAACAAGTTTGGTGTTGATATTGGTCATCAGGCGTGGGGAAATCTTGCTGGAGCCACTGGACATTTAATTGCTCTCATGATGATCTTGATGGCTGCAACGTCGCTTTTCAAGCGCAAGTTGATTACATTCATGGGAAGAAGGTTTGTGGAATGCCTTCCGCCTTGTTCTTGTGTCGCTGGTTCCGTTTGCTCCTTGTACTCAATGACACTTTTCACCCCAATTGTGCAGATTCGATGGTTATCGCACATTCCTCATGGTTCACAAACTCTGGATGCCGTGCTTTGCCCTTCTCTGGCTGCACGGTCCCATTTTCTGGGCATTCTCAATCTGGCCACTCGCCCTCATGGGTCTTGAGAAGCTAGTTCAAACAACCCGTGCCAAAGTGGATGTTGTCATTGTAGACGCAAAGATTGTCGGATCCGACATTTTGAGTCTCAAAATGAAACTTCAAGGAAAGAGAAAGTTTATTTACAAGGCTGGAGAGTACTTGTTCTTGAACTGCCCGGATATTGCGGAACTTGAATGGCATCCTTTTACGATCACGAGTGCACCCGAAGAGCCTTTCTTTAGCTGTCACATCCGTGCTCGTCCAGAAATGGACTGGTGCTACCAGCTCCGAGTTCTTCTAGGTCTTGGTAAAACCGGCGTGCAAAATGTTCAACCCTCCATCAGAAAGACGAGCAACATTGAAGCCGGCGATATTGAACTTCCTTCCGCAGTAGCGGGTTTCAATGAGCCCAAAGCAGTAGGAAGACCAAGACTGAGGGTTGACGGACCATACGGTGCTGCATCTGAAGAAGTATTTGACCATTCGACCGTCATTCTCGTTGGTGCTGGTATCGGTGTCACTCCATTCATCTCTATTCTCAAATCCATGAGCATCCGCGCCAAGCAGCGACAAGGACTCGAGGGAGAAACGGATCACACAAAACTCAAGGTATACTTTTACTGGATCTGCCGTGATGACCAAGAACTCCTCTCGTTCAAGGATCTCCTTGACGCTGTTATTGATACTGCGGATTTGAGGGACGTTGTCTCTGTCAACACGTACACGACTGGGGTAAGCAAAAAGTCGTAACCTGCAAAAAAATAAACAAAATGACAGGAATTAACAAGTTCGTGTATTGTGCTTAAATAGGAATTGAATCTTAAAAAAGTCAAGATTGAAAGTTATAACCAATACTCTGGAAAACCCAACTGGACTCGTATCCTCCGAGAAGTCGCTCAAGGACACCAAGGCGAAGAAATTGGAGTTTTCATGTGTGGTCCTCTCCCACTTGCTCGTGAACTCTCATTTGCTTGCAAGAGGCAGAACCAGTCTCTCGCCAAAGCGAAACTGGGTGACAGTGATCAGAAAACATTGTTCAGATTCCACAAGGAGAACTTTTAGGGAGATATAAAAGGTGTTGGGTGCGTGGTGAGATATTAATAGGCACCTAGTTTGAGTACTGTGAAATAATAGGCCTGCAATATTACCAACTTAATCTAAAACTTGCCAAGCGTTTGGCCCAGCCACTGCATACAAGTGAACAGAGCCATCCCCACTATCTGATTCATCTCCATTCGATTCCGAGTCAGACTCCTCCTGCCTGGGTCTCGGGTCATGCATTGCACTGTATGATACAGATCTGTGCAGTTTGTGCTGGCCATTTGGCACGTAGGGCTTCAAACCCGAAACATGCAAAGGTAAAGGCTGTCTCCCTAAAAGTGAAGACAAGTATTAGAAAAAGCATTTATGTCACTTGCACAAACCCACGCATTCCAACTGGAAATCTTTCAAGCCAGAAGGAACTGTAATAGGTACCATAAAAAAGCTCCAGCAAAACCGTATCTGGTAAGGCCAACCAACGTCGTTCTTGATTGTTCCCCTCGACAGCCAACCCAGCAATCTTAACGAGAAATGAGAATCAACTTCACTGGAACTAGACGCAAAGCGGCATTACAAAGTAACATACCTTCCACTTGGAAGACCCATACGCGGCGATACGCCCACCAAATACCTGAGATTCCAGGTAAAAGCCCGCTTCCGGTTCTCCTTTTGCAAATGAAAAGAAACCATCATGTAATCTCCAGTCCACTCCGTGGACCTGTGCACCTGTCCAATGAGCAAGTTCGTGCAGATATGTGACCGACAGGAAAACACTTAAACCAATTGCATCTTCAGGCTTTGCACTTCTCAGCTTATTGACAAGCTATTCGAATCAAATAGACGTTACATACAACCCATAAGCATACATTCCAAGGAAAAAGTGGCTATGTTCCTACCACTTTGTTAATGGATACCGTGTTTGTCCATCTCATGCCGATTGTGCCAGCCCAAGATGCTTCCTACGGCACCTGTCCGAATATGAACCTCTGGGGCAGAAGCAAGTAGAATCTTGTCTATTAAAGCCAATTCATCTGAAGTTGGCGGTGCTGCCGATGGTTCCTTCCTTACAATATTGACAAAGCATGCTCGAACTGTTCGCTTGCCAACCAATGGATGGGTATGCACGCACGCAAAGGCGTCATACACAACTCCGTCGCGAAGTATGTGTAAGTTTTCGTCGGTGGACAGCGTGAAATCGCGGATGAGGGGTATAGCCATTGTGGGGAAAGGTGAAGCTAATGAAAATGTTGAAAATGGCAAATGGAAATGGAGAAAACAACGAGGCGCGATCTGTTTACTGGATGGGATGGTCACGTGAAAAGATTATGTAATACGCTCTGAATTGGGCTGGTTCGCAGAGCAATGCCCCCATCCATATTTCCATTGCACGCCATGGCCTTCCGACGGACGCTTACACCTAGGCATTATGGGAGAGAATGCATAGAGCTAGCCTCCCAAGAGGGGACACCCATCATGTTACCTGCATGGTTGATTTCTGCAATAGTATTCGACCAAACCACAAAGCACCATGCGGTATACCCATCCCATCCTTTACCAATGCATCAGCTTGCTCTAATGTAAACTCGCGTAACTCCAAGATTCTGGGCATTGGGAGTGACAAAATGAATCTTCCCATTCCAACACATAAAAGCAAAAGGCATTGGTCCATTTCCAAAAAGAGCTTGTTGCGTCGATTAGTGAAATCGTTGTTGAATGACGCTTTCTGACTGTGCCCCACGGTATTGGCACAGCACCAAACTGCTGACGACAAACAACCAGCCTTTCCAAAGCACAACGGCCCGCCAGCAATCACCACACACTCATTTCTTGAAGTGCTCAATGAATCTCACCCATCACCCTCCCTCCCCTTCAGAACCCACATGCCCCCACCTCCTCTACCTCTCATTCAATCAAACCGCCTCGCATTTCTGTTTGGGTACGGATGCAGGGTTCCGGATCTACGCAACCACCCCACCTAAACTCTTGACTGCACCGACTGTTGGGGGTGTACATTTAGTTGAGATGCTTTATGCGACGAATTATGTGGCGGTTGTGAAAAAGAAGAGTAAAGTTGGGATTTGGGATGCGAAATTGGGGAAATGTGTCATGGAAATTGGGGTTGGGGAGAGTGTTGTGGGTGTTAGGTTGAGGAGGGATAGGTGAGTTTTTCGGTTTGATGGGGTGGGGATATGGAGGGAACATGTCTTTTTTGTTTACCTTGCTTTCTTTTTGACAGACTGGTGATCGCCACACCAAGTAAAATATTCGTCTATACCTTTTCACCCACACCGGAACGACTAGCCGCATTCGATACACTCGACAACTCCTTGGGCCTCCTCGCACTCTCTACATCCCCAACCCACCCCGCCATACTAGCCTTCCCAGGGCGTGCCCAAGGCCAAATCCAACTCCTCGAGCTCCCATTGCACATGTCAACACTCACACCTCCCACACACCTTATTCCCGCTCACACCTCCGCCCTCGCCTACCTGGCCCTCTCACCCACGGGCGCCTTGTTGGCCTCTGCAAGTGATAAAGGAACACTTATCAGAGTGTTTTGCACACGTACGAAACGACTGTTACATGAACTTCGTCGAGGAGCGGATCAAGCACGTATTTATTGTGTTGCGTTTAATGAAGCTGGGACCCGTGTCTGCGTCGCGAGCGATAAAGGGACGATACATGTTTTTCATCTCACCCTTTCCTCCGAACAACAACAACAACAATTACAACAACACGAACCACATAAATCCACTCTCCTTTCCTCACTCTCCCCATTCCTCCCAAAATACTTTTCATCCCAATGGTCGTTTGCTCAATTCCGATTGGCACTGGATACACGATGTGTATGTGCTTTTATGCCCGAACGTGAACCACACGAACGTCGCGAAACACGACAATCCGTATCCGTCCTCTGCGCAGATGGGAGCTTGTACTTTTTTTCATATAATGTTGATAAAGGGGGAGAAGCTTCTCGAGATGGGTTTCAGAGGGTGTTTAAGGGGTTGCGGAGTGTTGGTGAGGGTGAACATGTGCGATGGGAGGAAATTGATGGGTGATTGAACACTTGTAGGATGAGACGATGCGTGAGTTTTTGTTGATGGGGCTGTAGATGGTTGGATAGGACTTCTGAAGCTTTCACAAGAGTCCAAACGCATGTGGCCATACGGATCTTAAGGATTTTTTGCTCATCCTTTTACAATAATGTTGGGGGACTGCGATGAAAGTCAATGTGTATACAGAGGGATGTTATGTTCAGGAGGAAGCCTTTGCGAGAATTGGGGGGGGGGGTACTCCAAGTAGTCTTTTGTCCATTATTGTTATTAGCTAAAAACGTTCGCTTTAGGGATACGAGGTGATGGGGTGGATGGATTGCAGGACATTTTTGCGAAATAGATGGGTTTGTTATGCGCTACTTTTGCTGGCATGTTGTTTTTTAAAGAAACAAAGGAGCGATGCATTGGATGGATAAACACAGAGGAGTGATCAAGATAGCGTTAGCGTCATGGCTAGTCCTTGTAGGAAACAGACGTCTTCAAAGGTTGTGTCGTATGGTAAAAGAGCATCCATTGCATGAGAGAGGTCACCACAGGCGGTCGATAGCACAAGCTACTAATCCGTCTCAACCCACACACACCAGATATTTGTATTTTTTTTAAAAAAAAATAAAAAAAAGCACACACACTATAGAGAGCGAGAGCGACAAGGGATTTCATCTCTTTTTCCCAAAAAAAAGCCATCAACACTCATTCATCTCTTGTCCCACTATATTAAACAATCAAGAAAAAAAACCGGTAATACTCCTCCTCCACACGCACACGCACACCTCTCGTTTACTGCTTACGCTTCAAGCTTGAGCTAAGCCATTCCAACCCCTCATACAATCCATCACCCGACGTGGCACACGCAGCCTGAATGAACCAGTGACGCTGACGAAGGGAATGCAAACCAAGCTTGTCTGTGATTTCCGGTGCACTCATGGCGTTGGGGAGATCCTGCTTGTTGGCGAAAACAAGTAAAACAGCATCCCGGAGTTCGTCTTCGTTCAACATGCGTTGGAGTTCGTCACGGGCTTCACCGACACGGTCCCGGTCGTTTGAGTCGACGACAAAGATGATGCCCTGGGTGTTTTGAAAGTCTATCATGCGACGTCAGTTTGGTTTTCGAGTGGATACTTGAGGGGGATGGGACTTACAGTGCCTCCACAAGGGACGAATCTTGTCTTGACCTCCGACATCCCATACAGTGAAACTAATGTTTTTGTATTCTACTGTCTCCACGTTGAAACCTGCCAAATAACGCGGTGAGTACGCGGTGTTTGCATTCGCCGAGTTCAACGATCCCACTAAAGTATGGGATTGACATTGCACAAAATACACTTGTCCAACTCGTACAACACTCTTCACACGAGTATCCGTCCTCCAAACCACAAAGAACAGACTTACCAATAGTAGGAATCGTCGTAACAATCTCCCCCAACTTGAGTTTATACAAGATGGTCGTCTTTCCCGCAGCATCCAAACCAACCATCAGAATACGCATTTCCTTGTGGCCCCAAAGCCCTTGGAATAGTTTTGAGATGGAGAGACCCATTATTGATTGTGTTTTTCGTTTTTAATAAATGGGTATCTCGAGTCTGGGATCCAATCGGAGTGTTGGCGTGTGTGTGTGTGATGTGGCAGGTCTTTGTACGCGATTATTTGGTTAGTGGCTGTCCTAAGGATGGTATGAGCATGCAGATTGAAATCTTACGGGACAAATCTCAAACAAGAGTGTGTATTCAGCTGAAAACCCCAACAAAAACACACAAGATGGAAATGGATGATTGCAGGAAAGTACTGGCCCGCAAGTGTCAACAAAGCCCTAAATTTTTGGAAGGCGACACTTTCCGCCCCCATTGACTTGCTTACCATTTATGGTTAGATGGGAAGTGGCACGGTGACTGGAAGTTGGTGCAGGCCTTATTTGGTCGGAGCTCAACCAGCGATCTTTTGGTTGCAGCATCTCCTTCAAAGCAAAAGCATTTGTCAAAGATAGAAATAGATGGAATCTTTCTGAGATTGTCACTTGAAGCCAATGTCATCCCGCTTCTACATTCTCGGCGCAGGAGCCATTGGTCTTTTCCACGCGCACCACATTCGCACCTTCCTCCACACTCCCGTCACACTCCTCCTTCGCGCACCCACACTCACCCAATTCCACGCTGCAAACAACACCCTCACCATTCAAACATCAGACCGGACTGTTATTGGCACCAGCACCCTAGACGCCGAAGAACCCACACCCGATGGTCCCCCAATTGAAAATCTAATCATTTGCACCAAAGCGCATGATACCCTGGCAGCATTGGACCCCATCTCACCTCGTTTATCGTCGAACAGCACGATCCTTCTCCTCCAGAACGGTGTTTTAGGCGTGTACACCAGTCTCCGACGATCCCTCTCTTCCCCTTCGACAGGTGGCCCGCGTATCCTCCTCGGCATCACGACACATGGCGTGACCCTCACCGAGCGCTTCACCGCAATACACGCAGGAGACGGCGAAACCAGCATTGGCGACCCCGAACAAGGACAAGTTGGCCAAGACCGTGTGAATACCTTTTTGGAACATGTATCAAGAGCGGGATGGTCTACCACGCTTTCGTACCCCGACTTTTATCAAAAATTATTACTCAAAGTGCGTTTTCATATCATTGGTATTTTGTTGCGAATTTCACGTCTCATACTGTTTTAGCTTGTCGTCAACACCTGCCTCAATCCCCTCACTTCCCTCTTCAATACCCCAAACGGCAGCCTAACGACCCCACACGGCCAAAATCTCATCCACCTCATCTGCAAGGACCTCTCTACACTTTTCCCCGATCTCGGACTATCACCTACTGAACTAACGTCCCATGTCCTGGACATTGCGAATCGAACGGCTTTGAATCGAAACTCTATGGAGCGGGATGTTTATGCTGGACGGCGTACTGAGGTGGATTTTCTTGTCGGGTACTGTGTAGAGTTGGCGAGGGAGCGAGAGGTTGAGGTTCCTATTTTGGAATTTTTGTGGGAGGCTGTCAAGATGAGAGAAGAGATTGGAATGCGGATGAAGAGAGAGGCTCAGAAATTGCGATAGTGAATTGCGTGAAATTGGATGGTCCATTGCGTCGATGAGTGCGGGACACTATCTTCCCCGTTTTGAGGTTTGTATGGAGAGATGGATGCGATCTAGCGCGTTGTGAGGTGAGTATCAGTGTTTGTCGAGACCCATTGTCACCCTTGCGCTGAAGGGCAATCCTCATGCAAAGTTTTAGTGGTCGCTTCACCTTGCAGCTTAATGATTCATAGCGATCTTGCAAATGTAACCTCAGTGTTCATCGCGTATCATCCAGGTGGGGCAGTTGGTTCTGATGAGGTGCAAAGATAACAGTGGAATATATATTGCCACATGATAGGACATCGCTTCATTGTGGCAGTGGTACTCTGCTTTATAAAATGGAACCATATGTCAGAGATATTGTGCTCAGTGGACTGTATGTGCAGCTGGGATGATGGTGATCACGTAAGTCGATAAATGCATTCGAATGGACTCTAATTTGATCGGGTCATTGTTTTTGTTGCTATGGCCATGGCCCTCGTGTCGTCCTATTTCAATGAGAAACGTAACTTTTTTATGTGATAGCAATCCGACATGGTGTGCGTTTTCGCATGTCGCTCATAAACACGCAAGTCTTTGTAAAGAAACATTTGAGGGGATGGCTGTATGGTACTTTACTTTGCCATGGAGTGACTCTCTCGTTGATCTTGCTGTTCCTTGTTCTTTCTTGGATGGACTAACCCTGATGATGTTATCCTTGCATTGGTATTAGTTAGAGCGGGCATATGATCCTGGTCTCCCTTGGTATTGGTAATGCATCTAGGGGAGGATAAGCACGGCGGAACCAATGGGCGATGATCCGGCCCAAGTATCCCCTGCTGCTGCAGTCCACGTCATAACATGGCATGTTTGTCATGCACAAGCACTGTAGCCATGACTTGGGAACATGAATGGTGGTGGCATAAATACTGCAGGACTGGAATGCAAAAACCTTGGATAGGTGTCATAGAGGATAACTCCCTATAGGGGGTATATTTTACAGTACTTCACCCCAGCAAATACATATTTATACAATTTTCATAGAACGCACTCCTTAAAGGAGAAAAAAAAAAAATGCAAGGGTAGCGGAACTCCTAAAAGGAGACAAGGTCCATCAGCACGAGAATCTAGTTTAATCTTCCTCATCATCCTCTTTGTCTGAGACCTCTGCCGTCAAATCCAGATTTGTGTTATGGTTATAGTATTTTATAACCTCTCCAAAGACGGCATCGCTGATGGCCGGGTAGATTTCCTTCGCCTCGAGGGCGCTGTTCTCATTCCCACCAAAAAATGTCTTTGAGACCACATGGCCGATCATCAAGACTAACGTTTTCAAGTCCAATGGGTCTTCCGCCTTTTCGGCGACGGCAGGAGTCATGTCATCATCAGATCTCAAGCCTTCCCGCCTGTGATACCAAGTCATCCCAGTGGGCCAAGGTGAGAAAGAATTGAGAGGATATTTGATACTCTCTGCTGTTAATCCTTCTCCCTCTTTCCAACCCATCTTTTTTAGCATTGTGGTACCCAGACCATACTCCTGTAAGGAGGGCTGCAATTGAGGTATTTGTTGGTCCACGTTTTCGATATGTGAGCTTGACCCCTTGTGAAAAAAACGGCGATGGAGGTATTCCTTTGCCATTGCCCTGGGAAGCGTAAAGAGGTCATCTTTATTTTCTGTTGTTGGTTCTGTGGAGGTGGAAGATGACATGCCCATGGAAGTTTGGACAGCCTTCTCCTTATAGGAGCATTCTTGATGCGGCGATGGAGAAAGAGGGGGAGGAACCTGCGTCTCCTTAACGGAGCTTTCTTTCATATCGGCAGATGGTGCCGTGGACGAGGAAGATGACTTGGGATCCTGCTTCTCCTTATAGGAGCTTTCTTGATGTTCCGCCAATGAAGAAAGAGGAGGAGAACGAAGGCGAGTCTCGGTGGAGGAGGATGGTGCAGTAGATGATTGATGTTCCACCGATGAAGAAAGAGGAGGAGAATGAACCTGAGTCTCAGTAGAGGAGGATGGTGCAGTAGACGATGAACCCTGAGACGGTTCTATGCTCCTAATAGGAGGAGAAGGAATGACTCCTAGCTTCTGTAAAAACCCTTTGATACCCGGGATGTGTTCGACGGAGGCAGCAATATTCGGAAACTCCTTATAGGAGATGCCTAAACTTCGAAAGTTAATAATGAGGTCCCGGAGATTTCGACAAAACTCGATCCTATTTTCTGTCTGTGCTTGTGGGGCTTTCATCACACCGCCTAGCCTTACGGTCGGACACATTGTTGTTTCTACACCCCGTCCTAATTTAAAGTCAACTTGAAGTTGAAAGAGCAGCAGACCCTCGTTTGCAATCCATACAAGTTGGGGCGGTGGGGTCGACGCTTTTGAAGTGAGTATGCACCTGACAGGTGAATGATGGGGAGCAACTCTTTTTGAAGTGACCACCATATACGCATGCAAGTTGCCATGGGCTCGCTTTACCCTTAGGCATTCGAGTCCATCTCCTTTTAGGAGCATTTTGCCGGTTTTGTCGAAGATGTTGTAATCTTGTACGATTTGGGGGACACATTGACGGTGGTTTTCGATGCGCATGTCCTGTAAATCCACAAGCGCGGACATTTTGACGGTAGGCGGCAACAGATAGGAAACTCCTTACAGGAGAGAGGCAAGCGTGCGGTGTTCGGCAGAGCAATTGAGGAGGGTGGTGGTGAAAGAGAGGAAACTCCTTACAGGAGACAGTCAAGGGTGGGTTGTTGGTAGAGCGGTTGAGGAGGGTGGTGGTTACAGGAGAGAGTCAAACGTGGGGTGTTGGCAGAGCGGTTGGGGGGAGCGCAGATGATAAAGATGAACGAATGTCAAAGGAGGGGAGGCCAGTGGGAAAATTGGGTCAAGAAGCTTACCAGATGTAGGTGGCGCCTAAAGTTAATAAACCCACATATAGACTTTATGGCACAGTCATGACTACCACCTTTCGAGTGTCCTGACTTGATGTGTTGTCACATGACCAGTACCTGCTGTGATATGCATCGCAAATCGTCCACTTTCCGTTGCTCTATCTGCTTGACTTGTCTCATCAGGTTTAAAGCATCTTTTTTGCCACAATATACTGAACGTCATTCCAAATTACTGTCCCCTTATGGCTAACTGTATAGTAATTACCAAGGCGAGTGGTCTTTTTCGGAATTGAGCCCCAAGTTCTTGCAGTAGTTTGAAAATACAGAGTGAAAATAAAGACCTTTACCGGGATATATACATCATACAGTATATACCAGAGTGCTTCCGTACTGTAGCGGTATTTGCTTTCTGTCTTACTATTTGGCTTTATTTTGTACAACATTTCTCCTTCAAGGAGCTTTTGTAGAAGCGAGTCCCCCAAGAAACAAATGGAATGCGTAAAAGAAGGTGGCTCGGAGGCGCCCGCCGATGCTTCAGCACAAAAAAGTGTGGATTGAAAGAAACGACGCCTCTAACCCTAACCCTAACCCTCATTACAACCTCGCCACAAATCCTAACCACAACTCGTCTCCTATAAGGAGGTTGCAGCTCATATTTTTCCGAGCCCTTTCTTAGGGGTATGGCCAGGGATAGGGACCGATGCAGCAGTCCAGGACCTCCGCCGCAATGGTTGACTTAAGTGCCGGCCTCGTCCTCGGGAGCCGATTGTCCATATCGTCCTAAGTTTTTGGGATTTCTGTCGACCAATGATCTTATCCACCTTCAAGGTGATGTATCGACGTGAGGCTTCGAAGCTTTGATGCAATGCTTGTACGCAAAGGAAGTTCCACGCCATATCCAAGATTACGTCCACGGATTCACCCATCGAACCGAAGTCAACAAAATCCCATTCCTTCAAACCATACAACTCATTCCCAATGGCGAACACTAGGAAGAACATGCAGACGGTGCCTTGGACATGGTAAAACGGGACAGCTAGATTTTGCAAGTCTTCGATGATATCTTGGGGTGCATCGATCCCATTCTCCTTACAGGAGCTTACAATCCTCTGCTTGTAGGAGCGAATCAATGCTACCGAGCACTTGACACCCGCTACAAAATCCATATCTTTTTTGTCTTGCGTGGGCTTAACACCAGCATTCTCGCCCGTTCCAACTTCTTTGCCACCAAGAAAGTGATTAAAATCTACATGTTTCCCTTTCGACTCGGAGTTTCTCCTCTTCTTATCCTCTGCATCCGCCTTACAGGCGCCTTCACCGTACCGTAGGCTCACAACCGGTAGCTTCGAAAATGGCAGGATACAATATGCGTCAATCGTTCTCTCAGTGGGGTCAGAGGGCATCAGAAGCATATCCTCGGCGTCGTAAAATTTCCGACAGACCCACTTCGTCATTGAATCATCTGGATCGATCGCCTGACAGGCGGCAAGGGTCTCTTCCACTGACTGCAGCTCATCTTCACTACCTTGATCTCTCCACAACCTCTCCATCCCCTCCAACTTATCAGAGAAAAGCAACTTCAGTGCACATATTCCTCCGCGATGGAGCACGTTAGAAAGCTTGGCTATACTATACTCGGATCGGTCATATTGCACTAAAGAGCGCAAGACCTCGAATAACGAGACAACGGAAGTTGAAAGCTTCTCTTGAGCATCGAGCATGATGGACTGGAAATGCTCATTCAACTTTGTAATTGTTTCTCCGGTAAGGAGTGTGCACCCGCGTTCGTTCATAGGGAGTGGGAAATCCGGATATTCTTGCGTCCGCAAGTCAACCACGCTCCAAAAAAGAGTACTAAGGACGAATAGAATTAGGCAATGTCGAAAATACACGAGAATGGATGTGGTATCGACTGACCTCAAAGCACCGGGTGAGCCGGAGGAGCGCAATTCCTTTATTCTCGTGACAATCGGGCCAAACTCTCCACTCTCCTGATAGGAGTCAAATCCTTCATTATGTTCTGGCGGCTGAAGGTCGTAGGCGATTTCTCCCTGAGAGGCAACCGTATCTCCACTCTCCTCGTAGGAGCCAATCTCAGCCGTATCTCCACTCGCCTCATAGGAGCCAATCTCAACCGTATCTCCACTCTCCCGATAGGAGTCAAAGATCTCTCCCGGAGAGGAGCAAGTTCGCTTTGGTGGAGGCAGGCCTGTAGAGTCCGCTTTTCGCTTTCTCATAACTCTCTCGACAATCGTATCATGAGCGGCCGTGACTGTTGCGACCTTCAAGTGCGACTCTAGGACAAGGCGCTTGTTGTTTTTAATCTCCATATACTCGCTGAAACCATCGCGGGTCTATGGTGAGTGAGCAGAAAGGTGGTGTAAGATATCGGGTTTGCGGACAGATAGTAGCGACACATTGGACTTTGGAAGGTTTCTCACTAGGGCACCTAGCAGCATCCCCCGCGGGGATGGGCTCAGTAACCGGACGAGTGCAGGACCGATGGGCCATCAGTGCCACCTCGCCAGGGGGACCCTGACCCATGGGCATGAGCAAAGTATCCTCCCAAACCTCCAAAGCACAATGCAGATTCCGACGATAGCTACCTAGCAGCATTCCCCCGCGGGGATGGGCCAGTAACCGGACGAGCGCAGGACCGATGGGCCATCAGTGCCACCTCGCCAGGGGGACCCTGACCCATGGGCCATGAGCAAGGTATCCTCCCCGCATTTACAAATGCGCAATCATCGAAACCTAATGGAGCTAGCTAGTATACTTGCCTTTCTGCTGTTTAAGTCGTTGATTGCCTCCCGATAGAGCTTTCGGGTTTCCTTGTCCTCTATGCTCTCTAATTCCGCCAGCAATACGGATTTTGCGCGGTGTACTTCATTAACATACTCCTTCCAGGAGCAATTGGGATCGTCCAGAAAAGTGCTCAGTTGTGTGAGCGGGAAGCGGGTCGAGACATCCATTTTAGATGAACGCGATGAAGACAGAGGGAGAAGCGCAGCGATGGACGCGCTTTTATAGAGATTTCGTGACGCCAACAAGGCGGACTGCAATTCTGTGTCCGATTCAGACTTACATAATGAGACCATATTTGGATTTATCAACTATTACACACCACACCATCTCACATCATTCACATGCCAACGGGGCCCCCCTCAAAAAGTTATAAAAAGGCACCCTCTCCCGCATAGAACTTGCTTCCACTCATTGTGGCAATGCTACTCTGCTTTATAAAATGGAACTATATGTCAGAGATACTGTGATCGCAAACTGGAGGTGGAGAGTGATCACGTAAGCCGATGAATGCATTCGGATGGACTGTAATTTGATCGGGTCAAGACGATCGTTGTTTTTGTTGCTATGGCCATGGCCCTCGTGTCGTCCTTGTGGTCAAGTGTGTCCATTTCAATGAGAAACATAACTTTTTTATGTGATAGCAATCCGACATGGGGTGCGTTTTCGCATGTCGCTCATAAACACGCAAGTCTTTGTAAAGAAACGTTTGAGGGGATGGCCGTATGGTACTTTACTTTGCCATGGAGTGACTCTCTCGTTGATCTTCCTTGTCCTTTCTTGGATGGACTAACCCTGATGATGTTATCCTCGCATTCGTATTACATGTTAGAGCGGGCATATGATCCTGGTTCAATCTGTTTGGTATTGGTAATGCATCTAGGGGAGGATAAGCACGGCGGAACCAATGGGCGATGATCCGGCCCAAATATCCCCTGCTGCTGCAGTCCACCAGCTCTCTTTCCTCATGACATTATCGTGTTTATCATGCTCACAAGCACTGTATCCATGACTTGAAAGTACGAAATGTGCTCTTGTTTGTGTAAAAGTTTTGAAGAATCACAACGGTGCTGTGCACTCTCACACAATCCATCCACACCTGTTCATATGTCCATGCCTGTGTGTGTGTGTGTGTGTGTGTGTGTACAGTATACAATGCAAAATGAATTGCATAGCGTTTGGGACCAAAGAGCATTTTAAAGTCTGTAGGTTGAGTCAACAACATGTTTTGAAATATGGCCCTGTATGATACAGATACTTGTTAGGCATCCTACCCCCTCTCCAACATACGACCCCAATATTGCATATGTAGGAGTTTACATCCATAGTAACCATGGCAAAACAAGTATCCCTAATAATAAGAAATGACATTTCAAACAGTCTGTAAAGATTTAACCGAATATCCTCAAGTGTGTGTATGAAATGCAAATGTATGAAATAAAAGTTGGAGATGAAAAATCTAAAGAAAAAAATGCCATTCTGTAACAGAAGGAAAGAAGGAAAGGAAAAAGCTCATTAAATAATTTATTATCAACATTCCACCTCGTGGTTTGTTTAATAGAAAGAGAGGCTTTTTCCTTCACTCTTTAGAGATTCTCACACAATCTATTTGCAATTAGCTCTCTCTCTCTCTCTCTCTCTCTCTCTCTCTCTCTCTCATACATAACATACACACAGAGATGACACTTGTTAATGACTCGTGTTTCCCTCTCTCTCTCTCTCTCTCTCTCGAAAGAGTAGTTGCTTGTTAAATCTCTTCTTTTGTTTTGATCTTCTAATACAAATAGTGTATGTAGTGGCTCTTTCTCTTTTGTACTCTTCACACACAGATGGCTCCCATCCTTATAATAAATGTAAAACTTACTTTATATTTCAACACGCGGCACTCATTAACACGGCATGTTTCATTCTTATTATGCTTATGTCATCATTCAAACGATACTTGGTTTTTTTTTTATTCTTATGATGGCTTTCCGCATTCTTCCTTTTTATTCATTCTTATAGGCAACGGACAGCAGACGCTCTTTCGCCCAGGCCTCTTGCAAAAACAAAATACTTTTAACAAAAAAGACATGGCACGCGAACGACGTTTATCGCGCATCCGTCGTGGTCCAAAGGCCTTTGTATCTAGCCTTCGAAAGCGATTCAACAAGGATCATGCCCCCATACAACTCGTCATCTCGGGTCCCACTCACTTGGTTCATGACGATGATCCATTGAATCTACGTCAACTCGTGCGAACCTCTTCTTCCGTTTCCAAAAGGTCATCGCTACTTTATAACCGTCGTCGCTCATCATCGATCGCATGGCATGACCCTCACGATCCAAGGAATTCCATCATTCTCGATACAAGCAACAAGTGGATGGCCGCCGCTCGCCAAGCAACGCGTCACATTGCTCCCTATTCGCCCGTCATGGCCGACGACGACAATGAAACAATCATTTACACTGTCGATCGCGTCTCGCGTTCGTCGCGTCGCCGTCGCACCGTCAGGGCGTCGACCGTCTCCATCGCCTCCATGGTCTCGCGGAGCGATGACCGCTCTAGGCGCAAGCGAGTCGGCATGTCCTACGACTCGCTTTACAGCTCTCTGCATCCCCAATCAACCTATGACGACCAACAACAGTACCCCATCAGAAACAATAAGCACTTTTCCATGTACAGTCAGACGGGGTGGAGACCCTCCTCAACGAGTGAAATGATTCTCGAAGAAGAGAACGAGATGGAGCACAATGTATATCGTTCCGATCGGGACAGCTACGCGTCCGACGCGTATGATTACAAAGATCGGTACGAGCAACAGTACGAGACGCGCGAAGAAGAGGACCGCGCGTACGAGACACTGGCGTATGAGAATCGCGCGTATCCGAATGACGTCTACGAGAATCGCACTTTGAAGGATAGCGAGAGCGAGAGTGAGGCGGCCAACCGGTTCCCGCCCGCCGGCGCTCGCCGCGAGGCACCACCCTCTCCCGTCGACTCGTCTACCAGTTCCCAAAACCTCACGGCCCTCCTCGCAGAACTCGACCAACTTTCTGCACCGTCTTCTCCGACCTCGCCCCGCTCGGTCCGTCCCCGCTCTCGCATCCCCATTCGAACGTCTTCCCAAGTTCCGATTTCCACACGCGACATTGTCCGTCAAAACTCGCGTGTCCGCAAGAGCGTCATTGTACGTATTGATCGCTTGATTGATGATATCAGAAACAATGAGACGGATGACGAAGAAGACACGCCCGGTCCGGTACCGATTGAAAAGGACGTACCCAACAACAAAAGTGCAGATGACGTCAAGGATGCCAAACGACTCACGGTCGCTGAGCGAGAGCGAAACCTCGAGCAAAGCGCTCAAGATCTCTCGGCCTTGATTGCTCAAGCCAAACGTGCCGTGTCCATGGTCGGCGGAGTTGAGTCTCCTGCTGCTACGACTCGTCAGGATCGGGACGATGATGATGCGTTGAAATCACCTGTGGATAAGCCCCTCCCTCCTCCTCCTTCTGTGGCGACGGCGCTAGCGGTCCCGTCACCACCGAGTCCCACACTACCAGTGTCAAAACCGGTCCCAAAACCCCCGACAGACACGAAACCCACGACGGAGACTGATGAGGCCAACTGGGAAGACGTGTCCGACCCAACAACCACGAGCTCTGTCCTTCCGAAATGGATTGCAGATCGTATTCCAAGCACATGGAAAGCCGCCGAACCGGCTTCTCCTTCCTTGAAACCCACGCTCCCCACTCTCACTCACCTCAAACAGACATCAGACAACAATACCCGCCTCTCTGTGGTCGCCGCCCAAAAACCCCAATTCAGCCAAGCCCTTCCTGCCTCCGCCTACACATTTAACGCAACCCAACTCCGCGTTGTAAGGGTTCGGCGAGGCGATACCCAGATTCCCGTTCGGAAACCCCCTCCCTCCATTTCGTCCTCGACATCCAAAACCTCCCACTCGACCACACGTACTAAACGCGATTCGGGAACACACCTTTCAGAGACTCGCCTCGAACGTCGGGCGAGTGACGAAAGTCTTGATAGCGGGTACAATTCCCCTATTTCTTCTCCTCCCACTTACAAGCCACGTGAATCCCAGAAACCCTCTCAAGCACCAAAAGGTCGCCGCATTTCGATCGTCATCCTCCCACCGCCAGCTAAACCCCAAAAAGGGTTAAAAAGACTGTTTTCAATAAAGAAACCCAAAATGCATATTCCTGCTGATGTGCAAGAACCCAAGCCGAGGACGTTGGATCCGCGGGCGTGGGATGTACCGCGTGTTTCGCTGGATCCTGGGCCTGCTTCGGCGTGGTCGACGGAAATTTGGGAGCGGAGAGGCCGGGCTTGATGGGGGTTTGTAGGTTTTGGTTCAACTGAGGATGGGATTGGAGTGCGCAGTGTTTGAAGGGGGATTTTCATTTTTGCATACCCATTTTGTTTTTTTTTTTTTTTTTTTTTGGTAGACATTTTCTTTTTTTGTAGTATTTTGAAGTAGCATACCCACACATGTCTGTTTTCAGCATTATAGAACACACATCTTTTATGTTTTGGATGGGGTTGATTGCATTCTGCACTGTTTGCGTGTGATGGGGAGTTTGTTTTTTGCAATGCATTTTGTAAACCATGTTGGATGGGTGTGTGTTGTTGTTGATTGATCTTGCTGCTGTGTGTGGGATGGAACGATTGACTAAAGTGTTCCAAACCTTCGACGCGTCCGTCCGACCGCCCAGACAAACACTCGCCAATTTCTTAATTCCCCTTTTTCCATCATCCTGCTCCATTCTCTTCGAAGGTTCCCCCATCGTCAAAAACATGTAATACTGCGCATCGCATTCTTTCCCATATCACATTGTCTTCTGTAAATTAAAAATATTCCCATACTTTTAAAGGAGACAAGGTATATTCAGGGGGGTGAGGGAGGGAATGAACGGTCCAGTATTGTCTCCACAGTGTGATTTCGATATTTCCCCCCCTTTTTTTATGAATTAGGTACCTCTCCCCCCCTCCTTTGTTGAGGGATATTCAGAAGACAAACGGAAACATGTTATTTCGCTCAACTCCGCATTGGCAGCTGACATAAAAAAGTCGCAGATTGAAAGGATTGTGTCAGCCATTATTTTCCGATCCCGTTTTTTAAAGGGTTT